CAACTGCTCGTGTCGAGCCTCTTCTTCATTCAGGCAGAATGCTGATAACAAAGGGGATGTAGTTCGGACCAGTTCACCTGGGCATCTTCAAGGTCACGTCAAATATCAGAAGACGTCTGTCCTTCTCCCAGACTTTCCCTTCCTACAGCATCTGCAGCTTACAGAGGATTTCTTTCTCATGCTGAATTCAACTTCAAGGATTGCCTGCTGGGCTCTCTCCTCGCTGTTTCATCCCAGGCGGTTTTTCAACAGCCGAGTCACGTGCAGAAGGCACGTTTCGATGTGCGACACAGGCCTTGAGCCCAAGAGACAAAAGCTCATGAAAGCGTGCCTCAGTAGAGATAGCCGTTGCACCCAGTACCGTCAACATGCACGACACAGCCGTTGCTTGTTGTATCGCTCGACACCCAAGCCGACACGACGTAGCAAAGCTCAGCTAGTCACTGGATCATCTGCATGTTTCCTGAAGAGTTGCCACAAGCTGGAACGCGTGAGACCATACCTGCCAAGAGTTCTGAAGAGAAGGCAAGGCGACCTTTTCCCGACCAAACAATTCCGGACATCAGAATCATCTATATCATCAAAGTGTTAGCTGCAGGAATGTGACAACGCGCCACCTACGTTTGTTGATTCTAGCCAAGTTACAGGGCATGCATGTTGAGCTTTTCTGTGTCTGAGAAATTCATCTCGTCAACATGCAAAGGCAAACGTGGAACCAAGACCTGATTTGCCAGCACTGCGAGACAAACCATATTTCGTGCCAATGCAACCAGGCTCTTTGAACCATCAACCAGGTAACCAGGTACAAGCTCGACTGGAGAAGGATACGACTCAATTAGTACCAGGCTACTGCCAAGCACCAGCAAACGCAACTACAGTGTTGTCCTGCTTGCTTTGTAGATTCAGACACTCAAGTTGCACAGAGTCAGGACACAAAAACTGTTGACAAGTGACACTATAAGAAGCAACGTGTCAATTTTTGCCAAAGAAGGTCGTAAACAATCCCAATTTTTGCCAGGAAGCCATGGGCCATGTCTCAGTCTGGTTTGGCAGCGCCTGACAGCAACATGAACACCGCAATGGCAACGAAAGCCTCTTTTGCACATCTTTGCACTGCCCATGTGGCCCAAGTTCAACTGCCAGACAGCAGCTGACTTGAAAGAAAAAATTGAAATGAAACATCTTGAAACACCAAAGACTTGGCTCTCGAAACTTGCCTGTCGCAAATAGGTCTCAAGAATCGTCGAGTCCAAACTGCAAACCGGGTTCTCCGAGTCCTGCAAGTTGATGTGAGAAAAACAAAGCATTGACTATGAATTGCAGCTGGTGTATCAACTTTGTATCTTCAATTCACATTAACTCTTCTAGTGTCAAACTGTGTCCAGCAGCAACAAAGGCAGCTTCAGGCCCAGAGAGTGCTCCAATAAGGCCGAAACTCCTCAAATTCAGCGGTCAAACATGTCGAACAGCAAACAAGTTCTAGCAATTGAACCGACTTTGCAAACAAAAGTTCGAACAAATTCTAGCATGACACCTGACATGCACCGGACCCACATACAGGCTGCTCACGCGCCTAAAGCATGAAGTACATGGCCCCGCTCCATTGACCGAACGAACACGGCTACAATGCCGTGCGTTCCTTTGCAAGGCCTCGGCTACTAGCTTTCACTGGCCAAGCCAAACGGTAATGCACACGCCGCAACAGCTCTTCAAGGGGATGTCTTTGAAGGACTCCTTTTGGGGGTCTATGAGCCTCAAGCAAAAGAATACGAAAGTAGTAGTACATTCTACCAGTGGCCACTCTCGGAGTTCCTCGCTTTGCCGTGCACCAAGGCCAAATTGAACTATGAGCAATATAAAATTCCATCTCGCTGGCCCCTTACCGCCAACTGCATTGACTGGCCGACTCGCAAAATATTACGCATATTTATTAAACAGGAACCAACTCACAACATTGATCGTGTATCAAGCTACCAGTTGATCTCGTTAAAGCTCATGATTGCTCCATCCGCGACCTGCTTTCAAATGTCTTCAGGTACTCTGATTAGCATGTGGCAAAGTTGTGCAACACAGCAAGGCCTATACAATTGGACAAAAAAATTAGAAACCACAGCTATTAGGTTGGAGGCCATTGCTATTAGGTTGGGACCATCGCTACTAGGTTGGAGGCCATTGCTATTAGGTTGGAGGCCATTGCTATTAGGTTGGGACCATCGCTACTAGGTTGGAGGCCATTGCTATTAAGTTGGAGGCCATCACTATCAGGTTGGAGGCCATTGCTATTAGGTTGGAGGCCATTGCTATTAGGTTGGAGGCCATCGCTACTAGGTTGGAGGCCATTGCTATTAGGTTGGAGGCCATCACTATCATGTTGGAAGCCATTGCTACTGGGTTGGAGGCCATTGCTATTAGGTTGGAAGCCATTACTATTAGGTTGGAGGCCATTGCTATAGGTTGTAGGCCATCACTACTAGGTTGGAGGCCTTCATTCTAGGTAGGAGGCCATCGCTACTAGGGGCGGGAGGCCTTCATTCTAGGTTAGGACCATTGCTATCAGGTTGAAGGTTGGAGGCCATTGGCTGTTAGGTTTGAGGCATTTGTTATTAGGTTGGAGACCATTGCTATTAGGTTGGAGGCCCTTGCTATTAGATTAAAGGCGCATTGCTATTAGGTTGGAGGCCATTGCTATTAGATTCCTTGTGCTATTTAGTCTTGCAAAAATGTAGAATCTGTCTTTGTCACACACTTCTACAGCTGAAACCGAACCTCTTGAAGCTCGCCTGTCTCTGCATTTGCAGATAGACGCCTCTGGTTGCATTCCTCGGGACAAGGTCAAATTTCCAATCACAATGAACCGTTGGATACCAACAAATTATATAGAACTGTTGGAAAACGGCCTTTGTGAACAAGACCCTACAAAACCACAGGAATGTGTGTCACTGGCAGCTCCCGAGGATACATACCGGGAAAAAATGGCAATCATGAAAGCTGTCAGTACTCAACACCATTAAATCCGCATGGACAACATGCCGTGAAGATTAATCAATTATTTGCATGAAAACCCGGAAAAAGAATACGTAAGGAAAGTGCCGCATACAATTCAATGTGATATCAGAACACGGAAAAGTTTGAGAAAAGTAAAAAAGTTGAACCCCCAGACAGAAAGGAAATTGAGCTGCAGCAGCAAGCGTTGTGAAGGGAAAGTCTGTTTATGTGCTGTTCAGCATGGCTAACTCCGCCATTGGCACTCTATGCTTCACACTTCCGTTATTGGTAGTTTCTTGCTACTAGTAGCAATGCACTTCTTACTAGTAGCGATTTAGCGTCCTTTATTTCTATCCTTCACACTTCATCGGCCAAAAGACTTGGAAAGCTCTTCGCACGCGGTCGCCGAGGTGCTTCGTCAAGCCCGCACGATGATCAGCCAACCGCCAGTGTCATGTATTGATGTGCAGTACACCCGAAACACGTTGGAAAAGGTCTTGGAAACTGAGGTAGGAGCGACCTCCTAGGAAGTTCGCTTATATATGTGAACTGACAGGTGTCAAGAAAATCGTTCTCGAAAACCAAACAACAAATCCGCCCGCACCGAAGGTGCTGAGGCGTTGTCTCAGTTCGCATAAACCGCTATACTTGCTAGATAGCTCAGCTAAGCTTTATTTTTGCTCTAGAACGCTGTGTTTTTGATGTTTTTAAACAACCGACAAAAAATGAGCGAAGCATTGTTACGCTGCCCGAGTGAAAGTGCATTATTGACATCGTGTGTGCTTGCCTGTGCGGCCTTCCCGAAAGAGAAACGAGAAACTATTGATAGTGTGAGCTAAGCTGCCCCAGTTGAACTGCATCATTGAAAGCCTGTGCGTGTTTGTATCTGCGGACTTCCTATTGAGGCTGATTGAGTACAACACGCCGAAGATAGGTACCAGCATAGTCGACATCTAGACACAACGTCGGGTAATAGGGGACGCATCAATCGGCGTGGAGTGTGTTTTGGTGTTAATATTGGTCAAATAGGCGGAAGAGCTACCAAGATGGTGAGAATCGGACCACGTGGTATAGCTCAGCAAACGGTTTTCGTTTTCGTTGACTTCGATCAATCCAGCTGGATTCGTGAGACGATGGAGCTCGCGTTCGTCTCGCACCTCGTTATTTCCATGACTATCTTTTCCTCACTGTGCACTTCTTCTGACCCTTTGAGCCCTGCATCGTTCTTTCCCGGGGCGGCTTCGCCGCCAAGCGGTGTGAATAAATGAACATGTCTCAAATTCAGGTCCATGACTTAGCAACTTGCCATGCAGAAACACACATGCATGGAGGTGATCAACCTCCTCTTTTCCCATGGAACATCTTTGGCACGGGCACACGTATCCCCATGGACATGTAATTCACGGGCCATGCGAAGCTGGGCAGTAAAAATGTGGAGAAGTGGAACTCCACGAACCATCAGTTTACACAAGCAGAGAAAGAGTGTTAAAATCTTACAATGTCATGTCAAGACCTGGATCTTTTGGTGTCTTGAGAAAGGCCAAGGAGACACAAACAATTATACACGCTTTGCCAAGTCGCCACAAGCTGATCAATAGTCACGAGTGCAGAGGAACGCCCATTGACCAATTCACCCTTGGAGAAAAGGTCTTGCTCCAAAGTCCTTCCCTTTAGTCAAGCTTCTTGACTTGGTCAAAGGCATCTGTATAAAATACCGGGCAAAAAAAAGGACAACAGTCACAAAAAGTATTGCTATGATACTTTGGCATGTCGAAAAGCCTTGTGGTTCAGATTGAACTCAGTCTTTGCCATATAACCACTGGGCCAAGCATACCTGAAACACTGCCGATATCACAGCGTGTCGGCAAAGCAGTATACAGAATAAATAGAAAAATTGACTGAAGTGTTCGTTGACGTGGTTTAGAATGCCAAGCAATCAGCAGGACTACCTTTTGTAAGCATGACAGTAGGAGTTTGAACAATGCCTTTTTGTGTTGGTAGAGTTACCTAAAGTTTCAGTCGCTTGGGTCCAAGGGACGCTTTTGAGAGGTCGACTTGCGAACGATCCCAAACCAAGCCAGCACAGCTGGTGCCTTGGATCTCAACTGAACTATGTAGATTCAGTCTCGCAAAATCATCAATCGGTTCGCCAGCCAAAAATTCCTAGCTCTGACAGACAGGTTCGTTCATTTTTGAAATTCACAAAAAATATGCCAATTTATCTAGACCTGAGATCTCCTTTGCATTTTTGTCGCCATGAGGCGTGGCTCTCCAAACAGGCGCATCTTCGTAGCACCCGGTGGTGGAAGTGACACTGACGTCCGGAAACCATCTCCGCTCGACTCGGAGGCACTCCGAAGCTTGCGGATCAGTTCCAACCTCATTCAATTAATATAATTGCATTGTTTGAAAGCAATTGTTTTTTCCAATTACATTGAATGCTCAAAATAACAAAAGGATTTCTCAGCTTTTCGAGCTGGGTCTCGCACCAGTCCGTGTTTCGGACTGTTTTGATCAAGCCCAATTGGTTGTCGAAGAGTTCCTGGAAACAGACCGCATTGCGTGACAAAAGGTTCATACTGCAGCACATTCAAGCTTTGACCTTTGCCAATTGTGATTGCTGGATATTTGCCAATTGTTGCATGTGATGTCTTGATATTTGAAAGTTGCAATTGTCGCCTTTGTTCTGCTTGGATTTGCCTGATATTTCACAAAAGGAATCAGTTTCTTGGGTGCACCGTTCCCAAGACATCAAGCTGAGCAACACAAAGCTGTGCAGGCGTGGGTTCCACTGTATCTGAGCACTTCCTTAGATTTCCATGAGATGAACAAAATTTAAGTTTGCAACCACCTTCACAATCTACAAGTTACAAGTCAATGGATTCCATTCAAACAGTTGTCTACTTTCGGCGCGAAAAATAGTCTGCATATGATTTGCATAAAACCGCCAAGAAACACGGAATCAAATGGTTCTGAAGACTGCAAGACACGAGCTCCAAGTAACACTGCCATTGGGACAAAGCGCGCTTGGGCGACGGTCTGTTGTACATGCGACAAGTTGCCGTTTCCAAACCTGTTCCCTGCTTGAACGACTCAAAACACTTGCATATTTATTGCGCATGCACTAAACATGGGTTGGGTCCGCGGCCATATGATGACATGATTCACATCCATCATGCACCCGGCAGTTCAAACCAAGCGGCTTGAGCATCCAAAAAAACGTAAATACAAAATTTACACTTGGACAATCGGATTGAACTACACTATATTGCAAGACATCCACACATCGACCATCAAACGTCCAAACCAAACATCCTCCACACTTGAAACATTGTTTGTATTTTCATGCCACATGTTTATCCTCAAGACCTCAAGGTGGTTGACGAACATTTTTGTATCGCACAAGCCAAAGCTGAGTGCAGAATCTCATGGTTAGATATCTGCTTTGCACAGTGGCTTGAAACTTACAAACCTTGCAGCACCATTGTTTTCTGTTCGGTAGCATCATCCCACCTTTTCCATACACATCTGAGCCACTGTGAAGCCGTGGCGGGTCAAGTTCAAAATGCGGAACACCCTAGTCAAAGAGATCTATTGCCTTTCATAATTTAAAGGATATGTGTATATCCAATGTTAACGTCTATTGAAAATTCAATGAGCCGACGTTTCTCATTTTCTTCATTTCAGCGTTTGGTGTCTCAAGAAAAAGCTCCGGACCTTTTCTCTGCACGGGGGTGAATGCGGCTCACACCAGGCCTCGGGTCTGGCCTGCAACAGCAAACTTCTTAAAAGATGCTGAGATGTCGCTTATGGTGTGGGTGGGTGGGAACTTTTGGCATTTCCTGCCGTCAAGAGGTGCCCACCTCACCCTCCCTTCTTGAACAAGGATTGCGACGGGATCAACTTATGAAATGAGACACGCGGGATAGCTATCCCTTCATGAATACCTTATCACTTCGTGAAGAAGGTCTTCATTTCAGCGTTTGGTGTCTCAAGAAAAAGCTCCGGACCTTTTCTCTGCACGGGGGTGAATGCGGCTCACACCACCCCCTTCTAACTCGCATGAACTCACAAGCTCAGTCACAAAGGTCTTCAAGGTCTCAAAAGAAGCTCTGGCTTGTTCAGAACATTCGCTTTCCTTCTTTAAAAGTGGATGTTCGCAAAGACGTGAGGGAAAGTCACTGAGATTGGCCTCAGTGGGGACCCTCGCAAACCAGGCTTTCATGTTATGCTCAACTTCTGCTGTCAAATGAAAACGCATCAAGGCCTCCGCCCAACAACCGGTAGCAGAAGCACGCACCAATGCAAATCTCACACTGTCATTGTCTCCAAACCACGTGACAAGGTTCCCTGCTAGGCACGCAGCCCAAAAGGAGAGACTAAGCACAGCAGCCGCCAGCTCCGACTCAACTCATAGATGACCGTTTCTTTGGCTCCAGCTCCAAATGCCTCACAGTCTTGCCTAGTGAGACTGAAGCCAAACCACTTCGTTCTAGAGATGTTACAATGTTCAGGGAAAGGGTTACGCTCTCAAGCAAGACTAGATGCCCAACACACTTTTCTCACTGCCAAAAGTTGCTTCAGAGGTTGTTGGGACAATATCACCAACAACTCTTGACTTCAGGCCAAGAGTACTCAGCACTTCAGAAATGACGGTCTAAGGTGGTCAAAACGCCTGAAAGAGAAGCGGGAAGGACGTCTAGCATAAAAAAATAGTTAGACCATCACTTCCAAATGAAACCCGCTGGGTATCTAAGGCTGTAAGCCAGGTTTCGGCTACGCTTCAGTTGTGAGAAGCTTTAGCATAATCAAGGGTTTGGAGGGTGGGCTGAACATTGTACTCTAGAACCAAAATGGCACACAGAACATGAAACATCACAAAACAACATGTGAAGATCACATAGTTCGTTCTAGAGATGTTACAATGTTCAGGGAAAGGGTTACGCTCTCAAGCAAGACTAGATGCCCAACACACTTTTCTCACTGCCAAAAGTTGCTTCAGAGGTTGTTGGGACAATTATCACCAAGCAGCATTCCAACAACACTCGGTAAAGGTCTCCCTAGGCGCTCTGAGTGGCAGTGGAATGAAAAGTGCACATGTCAATGGTGACCAAGCGACCATTGAACCGGAAAGGTTTCCGGATGAATCTGGGCTCCCCGGTGAAACGAGAAGAAATGCTCGAGGCTCATTCGATGCCTCGTGTCCGCTGTGAATTTGACGGGCAAGGGATCAAGAAAATTCCAGCGGCTGAGGAGATCAGCAGCTTGGTTCAAACTTCCGGGGATGTGCGAGATATCACAGGTGACTCGCGCTGAGACTAGGATATGTGCTAAATGTTCGACAAAATAGCACAACGGGGCTGATGTGGTAAAGAGCTTGTTACTACTAGCCTCTGTAGCAGCATTATCACTGAGACTCTTAAAATGCAGGGGAACGCATGCGTGAGGACACAATGCTTCGCACAAAAGTACAAGGAATGCTTGGGCGAGTGTTTCATAACATAAGTGTTTCATAACTAATCCTCGGATCCGCACCTTTTGCTCTTTTAGACTCGTACGGACTTGAGCCTGACCCTTTTGGTTCTGTTTGCCGGTTGTTGTTTTGTTGGGGTGGTTTTTGGGGTTTTTGTTTGGTTTGGTTCCTTTGTTCTCTTTGGTCAGGCTCATATCCTCACACTCCTCTTACGAATTCGACACGGTGACTTGTGCCTCTCGGCACACATAGCGCCCCTACCCGTGCAAAAAAAAGGGCGAGTGTTTCATAACATGCAATATCACGCTGGGCTTCTAGTCGAACTGGGATGTCGAACTTCTTAATCTCATGGACATGCCCACTGCTCAGCAAACCAAAAAATTCGTTGCTTGGAGGCAACAAAACCGCCCACTTGAAACAGGTCTCGGCATGGTCAGCGCAAGAGCGGAGTGCAGCGGAGCCTCAAAGGGGCTTCGCCCCACCCACCAAGCTGTGACCAAGAGGCCACTGCGTCGAGTGGTAAAGGCGATGTTCAGGTGCTTTGCAAAACCTGCATTGCTTGTTGTCAGCCAGTCTGATCCTTGCCCAGGGGAATCAGTTGTTGCTCTGCCTAGCAAGCCATGGAAAAAGCCCATCTCGTTGCACAACCCTTTCAACTGATTGCACAACAGAGACGAGAGGCATATCAATTGTCAGGCAGTGGAGGCAGAGACAACGAAAGCGGTTTGCCTTTGCACCCCTTAGCAGACAAGGAGTGCCATTGGGGTACTCTCTGTTTCAAAAAGAGAGAGCGGCACTGAGTTGCAAAACGTCTCCTGTTGCATGCAAGGCCCGGGTGAGACAGGTGAAACATGGACCTATCCTAGCATGGTACTTGCGCCTCTTTGTACAGCAATGGTCATGGCGTGGTCGCTGCAAGGAGAACTAAGGTTCCCCCTGGCAACCTTCCATTACCATTCTCTACCACCCGCCTATAAGGAGCGAAAGCTAAGGCTCTCGTTCCTACAGCCTCACTGTAATGTAGTTACTGGGGCCGAAAGGATGGTTTAGCCTGAGCTTTCTTGAGCTTGCCTAGCACAGGTAATCGAAGTGGCTGGGGAGCAATGCACCACTACTATTGTTAAAGCGTTGTCAGCCTAGGGTGAGGCTTCTTGAAAGTCTTCTCTCTATTGGTCGTTGTCATTTGGCGGCAGGAATCGAAGCCACTTGGGCTTGTCTAGTTGCTCGCATTTGTCAAAAGCATTGGGCCGGGCATATGTACCTCGCCATGTCTTGCTTTTCCCCTTTTTCCAAAATGCTCGAAGCTGCGTACAGCCTGCAAAAGCACGCCGGGCAATGTAAAGCAGGGACGGTGGGGTGCAGACTTCTTGCAGCGAGGTGCAATTGAGAAAAGCTTCTTGCTCTATAATTCGTAAGTTTTGGGAAAGGCTGAGTTGTTGTAGTTGTGCGCAGTGTGCAAAGGTTGAACCCAAAATTTCACTGGCTTTCGTTTGGGGCAAATCCACCCTTCGCAGCTGCTGGCAACTTGCGCACGCAGCCGTTCCTATCCTGTGAAAGTCTGACGGCAGACAGAGTGCAACGACACCTGCCTCCAAGAAGCAACAGTCAGGCAGACTCCGGTTTGGCTCAGTGGAGCCTTGCCCTTTCTTACCGAGGTTGAGGTGCTGGAGGGCCGTGCATCCTTGAAACACACGGGGCCTCAGTTGCGCTTGGGGGGCGAGTATATTGTCAGGGCACTGCATCACTCCTATTCGAGTTAGGGAGCAACATTCCTCGAATACCTTAGGGCCGAAATGTTGGCAGCCCGGGACAATTACTACGCGCAAGGCTCGGCAGTATCTGAACGCACCATGCAGCAGACTGACTACCGTTGCTGGCA